TAGTTTGAAGTCAGAAGTCAACTGCCAGTTAATAGACTTTTTTGCCGTATGAGTATACGTTGCCCAGGGTGTACCACGAGGAGGTAGGTCTATCGCACACCGCTTGAGGCGAAATATTAGTGTGAAGTTTCCATCAGATTCCATATTGCTATTGATCATACTATCATTTCTCTGTTGTGTTTTTTTTCTCTAGTTCCTTCTTTATTTTTTGTTTAACCATGTAATCATGACACGAAGTGTAAAAATTTCAACTTTCTCACTTTAAATAAAAATTCCCACATCTCCTTTGCCCACTCCATTCAATCTACAATGAGCTACAATATTTTCTCCGCTTGTTCATCACAAAAAAACAAACATTTCACCTAGAGTGGGTTAATAAATTCATGAAATATCCATTTCGACTAAATCCTTAATCACCTTAACCATTATCGAGCGAAATCAAGGATCATTCGCCTTCCTTAGCATTCGGTACCAGTGGAAGGTATGCTCAGAGAATCTGTAGGAATCGCTCTAGTTAAACCTGATTCTTACTCATTTGAAACGGTATTAAGAAGGTTGACAAAGCTAAGCAAACTGTCACATCGATTTCTCTCTTGATTTTCATTTTGCGCTCCTAAACTACTTCTTTATGGTCTCACATTGATCTCATGCTTTCAGGATCTATTCAAGAAACCTATTATCTTATCCTGGGGGATATACTTTCAGAGGTATCATAGGACATGCATCTTAAAACTGCCACAGACAATACCATTATTAATGCCCCCTGTCTTCCTGTTTTCTTCCGCTATATCTTATCATCCACCTCCACTTTCCACACAAATTTACAGATTTACAGGAGCAACTCGTTAAGGGCGCAAAAAGGCAATTCTATTGTCAGCAAATGGAAAGACGGTTAGAAAAATGCTTGCTCTCTTTAATTTAATTGCCACCAAAATGTCTATTCTCAATACATTGATTTCACTTCCAAACCAAAACTGAATCGAGCGTAGATTTAACTAGAGGCATATTAAACCCCCCCCCCTCACTCCTCCTGGGGACCGCAAAACTCTAGAGGTCCTATGGATCCGTCTAGCAGATCATTAATCGAAATGATGCTGCTGTAGATCTTTGAAAATAGTTAGAGGTGGTAGCAGCATCCGAAATCATTGGGGAGAAATATTTTCGAGAGTTTGAGAGTTTATATGAGAATTAAAGGTCTTCGTCCAGGAGAAAAAAATAGGTAAAAACTCTTTTGTTAACTATTATAGATGCTCTATTTTCTTGAAAGTGGGCCAAAAGGCTTTGCCCAATTACGAAAGATAATTAATTGCTTTAATTAGGTTCGTGTGACTGGAACTATTGGCGCAATTTCGAAAATGTGACTCATTTCACTGTGATTGTACAAAAATTTGCGATGATGGTAGATAAATATCGTATCATAGCAGAAATAAACGGAATTTCTCGCATTTCGAATTCAGGAAGAGCCTTCTTTATTCTCAGGTATGGTTTGTAGATTCGTGTTCAAATTTTAGTCTTGAAAATTGATGCATTACACTTCTGAGTGTTCAAGTTTTCTTCTTTACAGTAACCAGTACTCACGTACGGATTGATAAATTGAAATGGTTCATCCGAAATTGCATTTTTTTATCAATGGTAAAGACAAAGGTAATAAGTACTTAACATTGCGAATATTAACAAGCTGAACAGTGAGTAGTTTAGAGCAAGTGTTGACTATGCTCACCATATAGTTCGATACATAACCGAATACCTCCTAACACATCCATTTTACCTTGGTCACACTGTAGACGCACTCGATGAGCTAGCATTCGATATAAGAGAGCGAAAGCTCTCATTGTTCGATTTTAAATACAGCGAATGGTGTCCAGTTATTTTAACTCTTTCTAGGTAATTGTTCTGTTCTTCCTTATTTCAGTGCGAACACATTCCCGGTCGCCAGTTCAGGAGTGGCAGTTACAAATGCATGTGTCGCCAGGGATTTGAGTATCCATTTAACGATCTAACTTGGTTCTTCGACGGCGAAACCATGGAAAAAGAATATGACCTCATGATACGAGGTCAGAAGAGTCGATATGACCTTCTCAAGTGTCGTCAGGGATTGGCAATGTCACTACGAATTTCTGTTGGGCTAATGATTGCCTCAGTTATGAGTAGTTTGGTGCTGTTTTAAATAAAGTCAATTATTTACTGGTATTTATTATATTTAATCGATTTTAAAAATGCCTTTTTTAACGCAGGTATGATTCTTCAATGTAGGAAACATTTATTTATTTCAAATGGCAGACGTTATGATAGGTATCATTAGCCCTTTAGTTGGCTTCGTGCTTCACAGAAAGGAAGAGGAACACCAAAGTGGCAAAACGTCGAGAGGGGAATAGAATAATAATTCACAGACGTAAAAGAGACAGACAGACGCAAAGGTAGAAAAAAGGTGAGGTGAGTACTGCGGAATTAGTCGAATATGAAATGCGGTGGGGTCTTGGTAGTTTGAAGTGAGAAGTCGACTGCCAGTCAATTGACTTTTTTGCCGTATGAGTATACGTTGCCCAGGGTGCACCACGTGGAGGTAAGTCTATCGCACACCCCATGTAGGAAACATAATTGAAATGCTTTTACGTTTCATATAGAAACAAATTAGGTTATATTACCATAGGGCTTAGAAAGTGAGAGCACTAAACGATGGTTGGCGATAGAATTGCTCTTCGACATCGCCGAGTAGATTTTTACCATAAGAAATAACGATCTTCTCTTTTGGACTTCTTATTGAAATACACTGTTAATGGCTAGGAAAAGTTCTTGTCACACCTACTTTAAAATATTTAAGGGCGATTTCTATGACGGAAATTATTTTCTGTCACTCATCTCGGGAATAAAAAAACAGTACCTCTCTCGAATAATATGAATGGTGAGATTGTTCATTGAAAGCGCGCTAATATGCATTGAATTTTGAAAATTCGATGTGACTAACCTATAAAATATCCACGTAAATCTCTTATTATCAGACTATTTATGGGCGTACTCATAATATTTAACTAACAAAGGAGATGACGTGGGTACGCGATAGACTTACCTCCACGTAGTACTCATGCAACATAAAAGCCAATAAATCGGTAGTTGACTCCTGAATTCAAACTACAATGACCGCTTTGTATGTCATATTCGATCACTTCCACAGTGCTCACCTTGCCTTTTCCTCTAACTTTATGTCTGTCTCTTTTACATCTGTTAATCACTCTTCCATTCCCTCCCCTCGCCTTTTGTGGCTTTGATGTTCCTCCTCTCTGTGGAGACCAAGTCAACTGAAGGTCTAATGATAACCACCATAAAGTCTACCATTTGATAAAAATAATAAAGCATAACCATAAGCTTCATTGTTACGGTCTATGACGTTCCCTTAGGGCATAGTGAAGGTGGTAAGAGTAGCTTGACAGCTAAACGGTTTCATTATATAGAGATTGAAAATTATGTTTTACTAACTGCAATGTTAATGAATTTACACCTATCACGCAAACTGAATATGCTACTATTGATCTATTGTTCAATTTATTACGTGAAAAGACTTTTTTAGAACACCCGTGGTGACTCATCATCAGCACGAAAAAATATCAAAACGCAAGGGGTAATCACGAAACCCACTGTGCTTTTTTGGGCCAGATGGTCGAGTGGTGGCTAAAAGGGAAATCAATGCATTTAAGGAATCCAATAATATTTCACCATTGAACTCGTGTTGTCTATTTCGTGTCTCATTGCACGAATTTCCAGACTGTCTCTAGACCAAACGTGATGAATAATTCTGCTGATAGTAATAATAATAATAAAACGGTCATTAATTGAACTCATTTCCCACTTGCCAGAAATATATATATATATATATATATATATATATATGTACATATAACTGAATGATAAGATTGATTCACTTGTCCAATGCAGTTTTCAATTCTTGACCATTTGCGTCCCCTCTTAAATACGCCTAAAAATTCGAAAAAAGTCACTATAAATTGGCCTGACTAACGGGAACTTGGTTTCAAATTTTCAAAAGCACTCGACAATGACTCATTTATATTTACCTAACACAGTTTTCGAAAATTATGTTGATTAAAACAAAAGGCTCGGACCTAGCTGAGAAAAATGTGTTTTTTTTACTTTATTATTAAAACTACCTTTGATTGATCGTCAACGAAATTTCTTTAGGATACATAATTTAAACACTCGCTCGATTTTAATAGATGCTTTTATATGGTAGAATTTAAGGGGCATATAAATGTGGCAGGTCAAATGGTCTTTCATGGCGATTGGGATTTCAATGGTCAAATTTATTGTTTTCGATTTACTCCATTTTTTCTCATTTTTCTCCTAACTATGGTAAAGGCACCAGAAAGGTGACATTAAATCATATTTTAATGCAATTTTTAAATCCAATTAAATTTGTTTGCCAAAAGTGTGTGTGTGTGATGCAGAAAGGAAGCGTAAATACCAGTCAATTGAATTTGCAAACTAGCACCGAATTATCTAAACATATTCAAAACAAAAATGTCACTCATTGGCAGGTAAGTTAATGAAACAAATTTAGGAACCAGATCAAGTTGCGCTTAATATCGCCTCCTAGAAATAACTATCTTAACAGCTGACATGTGGCACCAACAACTCATCAATCAGAAGAACAAGATTTGAGAACTAGGCCAAACGTGCAAACCGTGTATTACTTTATTATTTATTTATTTATTTCGAATGGCAGGAGTTTTGATAATTACCATTAGCCCTTTAGCTGACTTCAGGCTTCACAGTGGAGGAGAGGGAACAACAAAGTCAAAAAAGGTCGAGGGGTGGGGAACAGAAGAGTGATTTGCAGAGAAAAGGTGAGGTGAGTACTGTGGAAGTGGTAGAATATGGCATACAGTGGGGTCATGGTAGTTTAAAGTCAAAAGTCAACTGTCGGTTTATAGACTTTTGCCGTATGAGTATATGTTGTCCAGAATGCACCACGTGGAGGTAAGTCTATTGAACACGCCTGCATTACTTTATTATAAATACACAAGAGACACTAAGGTATGGTGTCTGGAGTCTGTCTTTGTGGTTGTCCTGACTAATAAGCCATATTACGCAGCATTACAAGGTCTCACCATTCGGTACGCCTCCTTGAAACTAATCTAATAGAAACATATGCTCACAAACACAATTGACAATGGTGTTTTCCAAAGCCATTATGCGCCTAAAGGCACATTAAATAGCGATATGTTGCAGATAAATTGATTATGGCAAAAGCAGATTGAGCAATGGAATAGTTTGGAGTCTGTTTGAAGATTAACATTCCCCTTATTATAGTTGTGGGGATCAAATGCTCCTGACGTAGAATCTAGAACTGTAATTAATTGAAAAATAATTTCTTGACTCCAACATAGCTTTCTCACCCAACCTCCAGCTCAATTTACGATTGCTCAATTTTTAATGAATCAATAATTATTAATATTTCGAGGAGTAAAGAATAAATGTTTTGCATTTTGAGAGCAGAAAAGAGCTACTGCAACACCCTGAAAGTTGGGCCATTGCGCGTTGTATTTTTCTCGCTAGATAGCACGTGACCTTGAAAGTTAGGGTCACATGATTGTAATATAGCCCTCCTTCTTTGGCTGAATGTACTTCTCCTATTAAGCAGTAGGCAGTCGTTGGAACACCAAATAACTAGAACTTGTAGGCGACTACTTTTTCGAATTAACTTGTTTTCAGTGAAAAAAAACAAACAATAAGATCGTGATTTGTGAAATTTTAAGTACCTTATGTGTGTACTATTCTACTGCAGTTGTGAGTCTTAATGATTGTATATCGCTTGACCAAAATTCAGAAAGGTAAAATCTTGATGGAAGCCCATTCGAGTCCAATTTTTCGGCATTTCAGTGATGTCAAAACATTATATTTATTTATTTCAAATGGCAGGCGTTATGATAGGTATCATTAGTCCTTTAGTTGACTTCGTGCTTCACAGAAAGGAAGAGGAACACCAAAGTGGCAAAAAGTCGAGATGGGGGGACAGAATAATGATTCACAGACGTAAAAGAGACAGACAGACACAAAGGTAGAAAAAAGGTGAGTACTGTGGAATTAGTCGAGTATGAAATGCGGTGGGGTCTTGGTAGTTTGAAGTGAGAAGTCAACTGCCGATTAATAGACTTTTTTGCCGTATGAGTATACGTTGCCCAGGGTGCACCACGTGGAGGTAAGTCTGTTAAAACATTAATTCTCATGATAAGTAACCTTCCGTGAAATACTCAATCCAAGAAATATAAATGATGCGATAATAATGGCTTCTAGATAATGTCCCGTGTTGAACGTATCATAGCGAAAGCACAAACATCAGGGCTTTTGCTTAACTTCCGATTCAAACATGGCGGGTAATTTGGCTACCTCGTCTTGATCTTCAGAGAACGGAGTATGGCGCATCCT